TTCACCAAAATCACACATATACTGACCTTCCCCTCCATCTCTTTGGACTAGTTTCTCAGAGCTATCTAAAATGCTGTCTCCTAGGCTGTAGCCCTCATTTTGCCCCCAATAAAACTTAACTCTCAATTCTCAAATCCTCTCCTGGGAGTTTCAGTGCCACATCTAAAAACACTGTTCTAAAACAGTGTTCTAAAACAGAACTATCATATCTCCCACCTATTGTCCCAAGGGCCTATTTATCTTTCCCTAAACATCGTTTGTTTTCCCCTAAGTGCCCTTTTTTGCAGTCCCCTTCTCTTATTAAGATGGTAAGTTGCAAATTCTTCCTGAAGATATATTTTACTCTGAACTCCAATTTACATACGTAAATAGAATTTGCCATTTCTCTTGCTAATCAGCCCTTTGTCGGTTTATTTCACAGGCCACCACCAACTGAATCTAAGAGGGCAGAGGAGAGGCTTTCCCTCACTATTGGAGAAACCAAATCCAGGGGCATGCTCTCATAAACCTCATGAATACTGGCAGCTTCTCCCCATCTAGTAACTACAATTAGACATAAAATAAAAGTTTCCTTATTCTTAAAGGAAGGGCAGCTGTTTCAAAAATAGTATTGAAGTTTTCATTCAGATGGGTCTTGACTGTTCACTTCTAGCCCCCTCCACAACGGACTTCTAGCCAAATTTTAGTCATTATTTCCAAATATTTACAGCATGATGAATAAGCTGTAATTTTAGACAATGAAAAATAAGACAAAGTTTGGAGCCCTATACCAAGGTGACAGCCATAGAGCCCTGTACCAAGGTCATGGAATAAAAATCTCTGGAACTGATCAAGCCCCATAGCAACTGTTGCCTTGGGCGTCCAGATCTAAATCAGCCAGTTCCCTGACTCCATATTCCCGATAGCATCCTAACCAATCACCTAATGCCACCATTCCAGTAGGAATTCTGTCTTGAGGCTATAAAAATTTGGCCACTAGACTGCAAAAGGGCTCTCCCTTGAGCCAGCCTGCTGTTCTAACAGCATCTTGCACTCTAATAAACTTTATTCTCCTCTCATTCTGCCTCATGTCTGGAAAATCTTTTCAAACCATGCACGGACCACGACACAAAGTGATCAAACATGGTACTGATATGAAGCGGGCTTCCCTGACAGCTCAGTTGGTAAAGGATCTGCCTACAATGCAGAAGACCCAAGTTCGATCCCTGGGTTGGGAAGATCCCCTGGAGAAAGGAAAGGCTACCCACTCCAGTATTCTGGTCTGCAGAATTCTGGTCGCAAAGAGTTGGACACAACTGAGTGACTTTCATTTTCATTGATATGAAGCAACTTGAAGACAGAGGTAGATCTGCAAATTGCTACTTAGTTGCAAATTCCATTTAGAACTGGTTCTCTTTGAAACATCAGTTTTACATAAATGCTTATCCAGTAGCACATCATAAACCACAGGGCTAGAATAATTTTTTTGTCATGTAAATGTGGAATTGAGAGCTAAAACTGTTAAAGTTAGCAACAGATGATTTTTTTCAAGAGCACTCATAAGAAAAATTTAAATTATTAGCCAGCTCTCAAAGCAGAGGCATCACTTTGCTGACAAAGGTCCATATAGTCAAAGCTATGGTTTTTCCAGTAGTCACATACAGATGTGAAAGCTGGACTGTAAAGAAGACTGAGCACTGAAGAATTGATGCTTTTGAACTGTGGTGTTGGAGAAGACTCTTGAGTCCCCGGGACTGTAAGGAGATCAAACCAGTCAATTCTAAAGGAAATCAACTCTAAATATTCATTGGAAGGACTGATACTGAAGCTCCAATACTTTGGCCACCTCATACAATGAGCAGACTCACTGGAAAAGCCCCTAATGCCGGGAAAGATTGAGGGTAGGAGGAGAAGGGGGCGATAGAGGATGAGATAGTTGGATGGTATCACCAACTCAATGGACATGAATCTGAGTAAACACCAGGAGATTGTGAAGGACAGGGACTGCATGCTGCAGTCCATGGGGCTGCAAAGTCTGGCATGGCTTAGCAACTGAACGACAGTCACCTCTAGGGACCCTGACTAAATTCTGGAGATACTGGCATTAAACCAGCACTTAATTTTTGTTTTCAGGGATTTAAAGATTTTCATGCATTGTACACCCAAAGTTTTTGGTCTCTTGATTTTCTTTGACTCACATCTCTTCCATCCCTTGTTATATGAAAATCCCTCTCAGTGTAAGGAAAGTCCAGTCGTGGAAATTCTGTACTGAAATTAAACCATAATATTTGATCGAATTCTAAACCAAATAGCACTATTTGGGGTTCTCATTTGTGGATTACTCAAAAACAAATGTTTATCCTGTTCAAATTAATTTATGTAATATCACAAGGCTAAAAGAGATCATTTTAGGAGTGGCAATGTGTCATGAAAACACCAAGTTGGGAGGGGTGGGTACAGTGACCAATCAGATGAACATAATGACCTTTCACCGAGTTTTTCCTTAAAAGGAGTCAAACAGCCTTCAATTTTCTGGAGTTAAAAAGGCAGCAGAGGTAGGATATTAAAATGTGCGAGCTAATTGCTTCTTTCCCATCCTCATAAAGGACTAATGTTTTCTAAAATACAATTTGCTACAGGGCTCACAGATGAGCACCTTTCACATTAAGTGATAGTACACAAAACATTTACTCAGAAGAAAACAGGTTTCTTTTGGTACACCCTAGTTAACAGGAAACGGAACAGGAAGTGAGCAGACAATGTTACTAAAGGGAAGAGAAGGAGTAATAACCCAACCCTGTAATAATATAACCCAAAGTCCTAAAAGGGATAAAAAAAAACTAAGCCACATTGAAGTGAAGATGATTCAGCAGTATCACAAAGGTCATCAGTATTTCTGTAGTACTGATACTTGATATGGCACAGATACAAAGTCTTGTGTGCTAATGTGCAGATTGCTAAAAAGGGAGCCAGGTGTGAGACAAAAACTAACTTAGAAAATTAAAGAGCCTGATTTAGTCTCCACTTTCAGTTCAACCCTTCTAAAATGTTTTCTGCTGAGCTTTCATGCTGTTGTTTACACAGCAGAAACAAGGGTGTTTGAAAAACTGGCCACAGTGTTACAGTCTCCAAGCTGCCCAGACAACTTTATTCAACAAGAAATTACAGGTGGCTGTGGTTGCAACAAAACAAACTGCTCAAAAGGACTTCAGTGTCAGGGTATGTTCTCTGTACATTTAATCTGACCTTAATACTGTAGAACCTTAGTCTCACAGTGCCTTCCTGACATAAACAAGATAATGATGTGAAACAAATGACTTATTAAAAAATGTCAGATGGCTGACAGCCTAGGTAGTTGCACATGAAAAGCAGCCAGACGCCAGAATCTGGAGGCAAAAGAAAGAACAGTCTTACAGGCTTGTGTTGGTTCTGTTTAGTTTCTATTTTCCTAAGGCACAACCAAAGTTCTTTTAGATTTATATTTTGGGAAGTGTTTTTCTTGCTGGAGGATCATAAAAGTAGGTGGAAGTACCAGCCAATTGGCATGTTAAAGTAAGGAAAATAGGACTTGGACTAAAACTAAGGTCAGCAGGTGAAAAAAAACAACAAAATTTGTATTGGTTTTAAATTAGTACCAAAGTTTCTTATGAAGAATAGAACAACAACAGAAGTGTCTTACACCTTTGCATAAGATAAAAATGACTTTCCTTTGGAAGCTGTAGCTTAGAATTTAATCTGGGGTAATGATACCATGTAATAAAAACAATATGGATTTTATAATAATGTATAAGAACAGAAAAGTTGTAAAAATGCTAATGTACAGAGCTACAAATATGGTGATATATGAGCAAAGGGGTCATATCAAGTTTTTACTCCAGGCAGGTGTTGTGTTTGTGACAAGTGACTCAATTTGTTATACATTCAACTCCAACAGAATTAGCTGCCTTAAAATGAGATTTCACTGCCGTATCTTAGCACTTTAATTTTTGGTAGTTCTGTTACAAGTTCAAGTACATTAGAGCTGTTTTCAACCCTTATGTCTATTTCCTTTGAAAAACATGAACGAGAAGGCATTCTAATACGATTTATGTAAATAGGATCCTGATAATTTTAGCTCTAGTTAACTCCATACATTTCCCTGGGCATAACTATTGACTCTCTGAAAACTGGAAAATATTGCATAATTTTAAAGTCAAAGTACAACAACATTTACTGGTAACTTCAAATAAGTTATTCTAGGAGGATGAAATATAAGTAGGTCAGTCCAACAATCATGTTTGCCTAGCCATAAGAACAGACAACTTAAAGATCTTCAAAGATCAAAGGAAACAGAGCAACCACCTTTAACTGGCTGGAGGTGGAACATTCTACAGGTGTCCTGGCAGCCTTCTACCGACTGACCCACACACTCTGATGGGCTGTGACCACACAGAGACACTCCAGCGCCCACCATAAACCTGGCATGTGGCAAGTACAGAACCCAGAGGCAGGTCTGAGCTTGCTCAGAACACTCTGACCAGCACAGAGGCAGATAATGACAAAAATATAAATCAAGGCTGACTCAGCTAAGTGCTGCCTCCATAGCAGGCCAACTGGGTATGGGGTTTTGCCAGTCCTTAGGTGACTGTTTTCATTATTTAATCAAATATTAAGAAAAGTTCATATGCAAGCCTTGTCAAAAAAGAGAAAAAGTTAACTTCCTATGATCAGCATAAACTGTTAATCTGTTAAGAGAAGCCCAATACTTTCAGCATTCGGGTATACATACACATCATGTCTGTTTCTTTTTAAACATCTTAGGGTGAGGGTGAGGAGAGGGAAGACAAATGAGATAAAGACACAAGCTAAACATCCAACAATTCCCATTCCTCATTCTCTGTGTGGCTGGCAGCATGTCAGAAAGTCACTCGTTTGCTGTGATGGTCATAATACATCTGTTTGAACATGTAGATCTTTATTTCCTTGTTTGTTTGGCTAGGCCTAGGGTACGTGCTATTTTATTTTCTTGGTGTAACAATTCATCACTGCTTCCTGAGAGGCTCAAACAGGATCACTGGCCAGATTCCGAAGAGAAACTGTTTGGAAACAAGTTAGGACAAAATGAAAGAAGATAAAATTGTTCCATGTTATCCCTGAAAAAGAAATTATGGGCTATGTATGACTACAGTGGTTTGTTAGTGGTTGTCCTGGTATTAATAATCAGAGCACAGCATATTCTTTCCAGGTCTGCACCGTATCTCAGAAACAATTTTTATTTACTTAAATATATTAAGCATCTACTTTGTCAAGCATGGAGCTGGGCGTTTAAATTCTCTCAGATGCTTAAAACAGCTCTTCAACTTAGCTATTAACAGCTCCATTTTATTGCTGAAGAAACTAAAGCTTGAAGAAAGGAGACTTGCCCAGGGTCATAAAGCAGTAAGTCAAAGACAGAAGATTCAAGAGCATCTGGTTCCAAAGCCTGTACTCTTTCCATCCCATCCCCTTCTTCTGCCTCCATCCCATCCTCCCATTACCTCCTCCACCAGCACACACATACACACAACTCCCTAGGAAGGAGACTTACCTTCACCTTTGGCCTGTATCTCAAATAAAGTGTTCTTGTATATAAACTGAAAGAAAAGGGGAGAGGGAAGAGGTTTTCAGACAATGTTTTTCCTTTTAAAGCATAGTTGACGTACAGTGTTGTATTAGCTTCAGGTGCACAGCAAAGTGATTTTATATATATATGTACACACACAAATATATGTATTCTTTATCAGATTATTTTCCATTAAAGGTTATTATAAGATATTGAATATAGTTCCCTGTGCTATATAGTAGATCCTTGCTATTTATTTTATATATAGTAGTGTGTATCTGTTAATCCCAAAGCCCTAATTTATCCTTCCTTCCCCACCCCCTTTTCCCTTTGGTAACCATAAATTTGCTTTTTATCTCTATGAGTTTACGTCTGTTTTGTAAATAAGTACAGACAAATTTTTAATTCATGTAAACTGGCTTATTGACAAATTCAACCACACTGCCTCTGTATATACAAAGAAAAAGTAGCACTGATAAATGAACTTTAGTAACCATTTTTTGAGAATCTACTCTGTGCACAATACTTGGCAAAGAACTAAGGAAGACGGAGAAATGAACAACTCTCGCACTGGACACTCAGGATATTTGTAGTAGGGAGTATTCCACTCATGCTTGATGTGATTCATGTCATGATTGCCAGTTTCATCTCTGAAGATATGTGGTAGTAAGAATTAAGGTAGAGTATCCCTAGAACATTTTAGAAATGGTTATTATCAACTCTATAAAGATTATAATATAGGTGTGAAATAACCAGAAAGTATCACTTCTTCAGAGCATTCTTTAAAATGAGTCACCTCTAAAGATAAGATTTTAATATCAGTCCATACAGAAAAAAGTTAAATTTATTCCTGAAAACTTATTAAACTGTGTATAACTTACAACATACATAGTTTATGTACACTATTTAATTGTATTTGAATAGTAATATACAGCATGAGTACATATGCAAAACATAATTTTATAGCATGAAAAATTTCCTACTTTAAATAAGAGAATGAAAAAGAACATGGTAACTTTGAGTAATTTAGTGTGGCTATTCCATCCTACTGTACCTCAAACTGGAATTGTGAAGAAAGACATCATATATTAAGAAGAATACTGCACTGTCTTAGAATATAACCTTTGTTGTTATTCAGCCACTAAGTCGTGTCCAACTCTTTGCAGCGCCTTGGACTGCAGTACACCAGGCTTCCTTGTCTTTCACTATCTCCCTGAGTTTGCTCAAACTCCTGTCCACTGAGTCAGTGATGCCATCCAACCATCTTGTCCTCTGTTGCCCCCTTCTCCTGTGCTCAATCTTTCCTAGCATCAGAGTCTTTTCCAAAGAGTTGGGTCTTTGCATGAGGTGGCCAAAGTGTTGGAGCTTCAGCTTTAGCATCAGTCCTTCTGAAGAATATTCAGGGTTGATTTTCTTTAGAATTGACTGGCTTGATCTTGCTGTCCAAGATTATAATAATATAAACTTACTCTGATGGTTTTTCAGATGTTAATCTCTAAAATGAAGCTACCATATTCTCTCTTCTCTTTAGTGAAGAGTCCTGGACTGGGGCAGAGAATTCTGCCCTTGGATTCCAATCCTTGCTATTCCTTCTACCACTCTCAACTATTTAAGTACCTACAACATGTGGGCAAGCACTGGACCCAGAGCTTTATACACACGTCATTCTTTTTTTTTTCATTTATTTTTATTAGTTGGAGGCTAATTACTTTACAATATTGTAGTGGGTTTTGTCATACATTGACATGAATCAGCCATGGATTTACATATATTCCCCATCCCGATCCCCTCTCCCACCTCCCTCTCTACCTGCTCCCTCTGGGTCTTCCCAGTGCACCAGGCCCGAGCACTTGTCTCATGCATCCAACCTGGGCTGGTGATCTGTTTCACCCTAGATAATATACATGTTTCGATGCTATTCTCTCGAAACATCCCACCCTCGCCTTCTCCCACAGAGTCCAAAAGTCTGTTCTGTACATCTGTGTCTCTTTTTCTGTTTTGCATATAGGGTATCATTACCATCTTTCTAAATCCCATATATATACACACTTCATTCTTAAATTACCTTACTAGATAGGTATTATTCTTGTTTTGCATATGAGAAAGTCTCAAAAAAGGAAAGTCTCAAAAAAGGTCAAATATTTCATTCAAGGTGCTACAGCCAGTAAATGCTAGAAGCAAGATTTGAAGTCAGGTGCCATCTAATGATTATCCAACATGTTGTCCTCTAACTGGCCAGTGATCAAGTCACTTTTTCTGGGCCCCAGTTTCGTTCACCATCAAATGAGGGAGTTATATTAGGTTATTTCTAAGGTCTTGATTGGTAGATGGCTGTAAATTTGTGTGAGTAATGTCTGATGGCCACTTCTGTGAAACATATTCCTCTCCCCTAATTTACTATTTTTTTTTCCTCTGCTCAGTTTCAAAGCAACTTACTTTTTAGTCTTTTGGGGGTGGAGTATAGAGTGAGCTTACTTCTGATTCATCCAACTGGATGTAGAAAAGTCTTTCATTATACTCCCTTCTTTGGGCTGGCTCCTTTTCTTTGGTTAGCTCTAGGTCTTGACTTCTGTCTCCTTGACTTCTGCCACGGAATCAGACCTTAGAATTGATGGGTTGACAAAAATCCTTCCAGCCCAAAGCAGCTGTGGTTCTCCTTTTTAGGTACCTGTTTTCTTTTAGACTGTAACATTTCTTTTAATATTGTCAACATTTGATGCTTTTAATATTTTATCCAACACTCTTCGTTGTTTTAGTAGGAAATCTGTCTGAATATCCTAGGCTGGCATCACTGCAAATGAAAGTCCTGCTCAATTTAATCATTTCAACAATCTACAGAATAAAAGAGTATTTTCCTTATTTTAACTGATCAGGAAATGGAGAGTTAGAGCTAAGTAAATAAGTTGGCTCAAGATTGTTACCCAGTTATGAAGTAAAGGAGTAAAGATATGAACTCAGATATTTTTACTCTACTGTGTTATTCTTTCTTTCAAACTTCTGTACAAGACTTAAGTCTTAGAGTACATCATGTTACTAAATTCTCAAATTGTCCCTTTGAAATACCATTATTCACATGTTCCCTTCAATGAGGGACCTACAGAATCAAAATTTCCATATAATTAAAACTTACAACATTGAAGTTTCTTTTATTTTGGTTATTTAGGGTGAACTATATCTAAAATATATTCTATTCTTCCCTGTCTCCTAAAAAAAAAATAGGAAAACATTTTAACATTCCTAGAAAACAAAAAAATTAACTCAAAATCTTGCCACCAAATTCATCAAAATGCTTCAACTTTTGTGTATTTACTTTAAACTGTGTCACCATACAAATGAATTTTTAAACTGGTTTAATAATTTTATATACATGACTTCGTTTCACTTAAAAATAAAAATGTCTATGTTGCCATAAAATTTTCGTATTATAATTTTAAATGGCTGAATAAGGGAGATGCTATGATTTACTTTATGATTTTTTCCTAACTATTGGACATTTTATTTTTCTATTATTTTCTTTTGCTAAATTAAATAACAGTGATAAAACTTTCTGTGTCTACACACATTTTCATTTTTCAAGGTTTTTTTTCCTTAGGATAAATTTTGAGAAAGCTAATAATTGTGATAAAAATATAAACATTTCATTTTCATCAACATATGTAGCATCAAATTTCTTTCCAAATGGATTGTACCAATTTACACTGACAAGTAATGTATGATAATACCATTTTCACTGTAACTAAAGAATAAAGAGAGTTTAAAAATATTACTGTAGCTCACTTAAAGGTTATATAAACTACCCCACTGTTTTATTTTTAAATTATTTTTTGAAAGGCTAATACAAGCATTTGGTTAAAAATTCAAACAGTGTGAAAAGGTGTACAGGAAAAAGGAGGTCTGTCTCCTATTCCTGACCCTCAGCTCAGAGCTAACTGCTGTTATTTAACAGCTTATTATGTGTAACCTTACAAAGTTTTCACATTTCTCAGCATATATGTGTACTCAGCCTCCTCTTCACAATAAGAGGCCAGGCCTTCCTCTCTTTTTTGTTTTTTTAAATTTAAAAACAATTTGAAACTTACAGAAAAGTTGAAAGATTAAGAATTCTTGTATCCCCTTATTCCAGATCCCCAATTGTTATCATTTAACCACATCTGTTTTATATTTATACCCATACACAAAAACACATAATGTACATGTATGTGTATATTTATCTATTTCCTACAGGGTTATTATACGACATGATGGCCATCATCCTTAAATACTTCATTGTGTATCACCACAAAACAAGAACACTCTCCTAAATTATTATAACTGTTCCAACCAGGAAATTAATATTAATAAAGTACTCCATCCAAGTCAAAACAATTTAAATTTTGCTGAATGTCCCAACAATTTCTTTTCTCCATCCTGATTCAGGGTCTTATTCAGAAACATGCACTGCATTTAGTTTCCATGTCATGTCTTAACCATCATTTCCTAACTCAATAATTCTTCAGCTCTTTGTCTCCCATAACTTGATGGTCTTACAAGACTTTCACTCTGTAGAAATACCTTCAACATGATTTCATCAATGTTTTCATGACCAGGCACAGGCCTTGCAACTCTGGCAGGAATACCACAGAAATGATGCTGAACTCACTTCAGTGCACTGTATCAGGAGTCACACTATAGTGACCAGCCCCATCATGGGCAATGCCAACCTTAGATGTAGGAAAGTTGGTTGCTACTAGTTTTCCTCACTGTAAATTCACCATTTCCCCCTCTGTATTAGTGTTTTAGTAGGGGAGACTCATGGGAGTATTTCATAATACTCATGAGAGTGTTCAATAATTCTGAATTATGTGTTCCTCATCAAACTTTCGCCTATCAGCCAGAGATCAATTGTTAACTATTATCTATCATATATCCAACAGATAGTTCCCAAATGGTAATTATTTGTTTCCACTGTTCCTTCTGCATTTATTAGTTGGCATTCTTTTGTAAGGAAGAGCTTTCCCTTCTCATTTATTTATTCATTTATTTATATTAGTATGTAGTCACAGATTCCTATTTTATTCAATAGATTGCAATTTGAATACATCTAATGTGTCTTATATCTGAGTGTATGTGTGTGTGTCACACATTCTTGAGTGTGTTTTTGGGGTTTATGGCAGCACCACTGTACAGCCTGTGGGACCTTAGTTCTCCAACCAGGGACTGAACGTAGGCCACAGCAATGAAGGAGCAGAGTCCTAACGACTGAACCATCAGGAAATGTCCAATACCAAAACTTTTAATTCCAATCGAACCCTCTCAGAGTTCCTTCTATCTTTTCTTCTTTTCATTTTTAAATCCCTTGTAATACAGTGGAGAAATCAGGCTCTTGTTAACCTCTCAATATATTTACTTATTGCTTAATCAGTTAATTTATTTGTCCAAAGTAACCCATTTCCCAACTCCAGCTACCTCCTCCATCCATCCCCTCCTCTCACCGTCCTGCTTCCTGTCCCACACAGAAGCCCCATCCTCAGCACCTTGATTTTCTTAGAGGATTTCAGCATGCTACTACCGCTGACCCCTTTCCCTCACTCCCTATTCCTTGGACATTGAATGCTGGTACCTCTGCACAGCACTGCTTCCCCCTCGCTGCCTTATTTCCTTGAAAGGTTTCCACACCAGGAAGACAGGAGAAAGTGAAAAAAAAAAAACATGGAAAGGAAAACGTAGAAAAGGGGAGGGGGGAGTGGGAAACCCTAGTCTTTCAAAATAGGATATATTGAGTATAATTTCATCTCTTCTTGAATATTTATAGAAAAATTCATTGATATATTATATTACACTGCAGCAATGTCCTTGGGACTTCTTGGGGAGTGTTACAATGTCAGGAAGCACTTAACAGGAGGCTTCCTGTGTACTGTTTTGGATCTGTCATGAATCCTCTGTTCCTTATTAATTCCTGAATATTCAGGAATTAAGAGGAGAGGCAAGCCGTTCCCAGGGCTGAGGAATCCAGACATTTCCTTTGTTAGTTTTTCAACGGTGATAAATACCCTCTTCCTTCTTATGAACCATACGGCAAAAGTGATTGATTACAACCCTCTAAGACTGGAATTTTAATCTTTATCTTTGCTGAGAATAACTACCTTGTAAGACAGTATATATGCCCACACCATGTTGATTAAATCACCTTTGCTCCATCAGAGCTTGGGTCCCCGTGTCTTTCTCTCTCTCTCTCTCTATTTCTGGCTGATTCCCTGGAACGCAAAAGCTGGCTGCGTAACCCTGGGAATATTACCCTCTTTCCTTCTTTCACTTTCTCACTGTTGACTCTGGACCAGCAAGTTCGGGTCCATTAAAGGACTCCAACATTACAGAACTGAGTTTTTAATTCTTGGGTCTGTTCTAGATACTTTTGGTTCTCCTTTTCTATCATTTGTCAGTTTTCCCAAACATTTCCTGCCATAACCCTTCTTCTTAAATAGATATTTCTAATATGCTAGGGGCTAAGAATCTAAACAATCAATGCAGTAAGAGTAGCAAACTAAAATAAGTATACATAGAGCCAGAGTTTGTAAAGCTCTTCCATAATTAATAACCTTGAGCTCTTCAAGGTATGAAATCAGTGATTCTTACTTAGCTGTCCAAAAGTTCTTTTTATGTAATTCTCAAGTAGTTAAATTTTAGATAATTCAAGTTGCCTAAACAGATTATCTCTAGATAGGTGGGATGCAAATGCTATTTTGAGAAGGTATTCTAAAATTTCACTTGAACAAATTTTCACATTGGTTCAAAGGAAAATTTTCTTCCCCTTTCTACAAATATTTAAGCTCGCTCAATTCTTGAGATGAATTTGACATTAAACGTTTGAGATACCAAGGGAATATTTCATGCAAAGGTGGGCACAATAAAGGACAGAAATAGTATGAACCTAACAAAAGCAGAAGATATTAAGAGGTGGCAAGAATACACAGAAGAATTATACAAAAAAAATCTTCATGATCCAGATAACTACGATGGTGTGATCACACACCTAGAGTCAGATATCTTGGAATGCGAAGTCAAGAGGGCCTTAGGAAGCATCACTACGAACAAAGCTAGTGAGGTGATGGAATTCTAGTTGAGCTATTTCAAATCCTGAAAGATGATGCTGTGAAAGTGCTGCAGTCAATATGCCAGCAAATTTGGAAAACTCAGCAGTGGCCACAGGACTGGAAAAGGTCAGTTTTCATTCCAATCCCAAAAGATGGCAATGCCAAAGAATGCTCAAACTACTGCACAATTGCACTCATCTCACACACTAGTAAAGTAATGCTCAAAATTCTCCAATCCAGGCTTCAACAGTATATGAACCATGAACTTCTAGATGTTCAAGCTGGATTTAGACAAGGCAGAGGAACCAGAGATCAAATTGCCAACATTTGCTGGATCATCAAAAAAGCAAGAGAGCTCCAGAAAAACATCTACTTCTGTGTTATTGACTATGCCAAAGCCTTTGACTATGTGGATCACAACCAACTGTGGAAAATTCTGAAAGAGATGGGAATACCAGACCAGCTGACCTGCCTCTTGAGAAATCTGTATGCAGGTCAAGAAGCAACAGTTGGAACTGGACATGAACCAACAGACTGGTTCCAAATAGGAAAAGGAGTACGTCAAGGCTGTATATTGTCACCCTGCTTATTTAACTTATATGCAGAGTACATCATGAGAAACACTGGGCTGGAAGAAGCACAAGCTGGAATCAAGATTGCCAGGAGAAATAACAATAACCTCCACTCTTATGGTAGAAAGCAAAGAAGAACTAAAGAGCCTCTGATGAAAGTGAAAGAGGAGAGTGAAAAAGTTGGCTTAAAACTCAACATTCAGAAATCATCATGGTATCTGGTCCCATAACTTCATGGCAAATAGATGGGAAAACAATGCAAACAGTGAGAGACTTTATTTTCTTGGGCTCCAAAATCATTGCAGATGGTGACTGCAGCCATGAAACTAAAAGACACTTGCTCCTTGGAAGAAATGCTATGACCAACCTAGATAGCATATTAAAAAGCAGAGGCATTAATTTGCTGACAAAGGTCCGTCTAGTCAAGGCTATGGTTTTTCCAGTAGTCATGTATGGAGGTGAGAGTTGGGCTATAAAGAAAGCTAAGCACAGAAGAATTGATGCTTTTGAACTGTGGTATTGGAGAACTGTGGTGTTGGTGTTGGAGACTCTTGAGAGTCTCGTGGACTGCAAGTAGATCCAACCAATCCATTCTAAAGGAAATTGGTCCTGAATAAACATTGGAAGGACTGATGTTGAAGCAGAAACTCCAATACTTTGGCCACCTGATAAGAAGAACTGACTCATCTGAAAGACCCTGATGCTGGGAAAGATTGAAAGAGGGAGGAGAAGGGGATAACAGAGGATGAGATGGCTGGATGGCATCACTGACTCAATGGACATGAATTTGAATAAGCTCCGGGAGTTGGTGATGGACAGGGAAACCTGGTGTGCTGCAGTCCATGGGGTCACAAAGAGTCGGACACAACTGAGCGACTGAACTGATCCTCTGGTAAAGAGATCACTATGATAACATTTATTCATTAAATCGTTTAGCAATATATACTGAGTGCTTACTATTTGACAGGCACTATTTTAAGCACTTGGGAGAGTAGCAGTGAATAAAATAAAGCCCTTGCTCTCAAGGAACTTACGGTCTAGTTGGGGAAGGAAAACAAGTAAACCCTTATATAACTGTTTATAAATGCTGTGAAGAAAAATAAATTCTGGTAAGGGAAGAAAGAGTAATAGACATATTATGTGAGTAGGATGAACACAAACAATTCTGGTTCCATTTTTGCTGTAAGTGGCTGACCTCCAATAAATTCTTTATAAGGGAAACAGTGGCAACCAATTTGTTTCAGGGAAGGAGAAAAAGTAAGTTGGTGACTTCAGATATGTACTCATGCTTTTTCAGTCGCTGCTCAGGGGATCTGGCTGCTTTTTGCCTCTTAAATTTGTTCTCTATAAACAAAGATATGCTGTTCAACAAGAAATGGAAATGTTTATATCCTACTGCACTGAAAAAGGAGATGAATGATCTACTTAAAATGTAGATCATGTGCCAGAGGTCAGTTATACAGCTGTCACCCTTTCAGGATAAGAAAACAGAGCTTCAGAGAGAGGAAGGGACTTGTTTAAGATCACTCTGATTGGGTCTCTGACATTTTATATTTACACATTCTATTTGAAGAGTAAAGAAAGAAACACTCCAATAGTAGGATTAAAAAGTCTCTATTTCCTACCTGAAAAGGATGTGAAGATAAGAACCAAGGCCAGTTAAAATATGCCACCATGCATGAAACTGTGTGGTAACACCTATGACAGGTGGTAGCTTCTTTCGAAAGTTCCTGTGTGAAGGGGGGAAAAAATAAGCATTCGATTATTTTTCATATTTAACAATTAATGCTGATAGTATCAAAGCATTTTGAAACATTATTCTCAAACATGGCAATTATTTCATTTTCTTTTGTCTGCTGCATTGTTTTCCAAAGTGTATTTTGAGGAACGGTATTCCTGATAGACGTTCCATGAAGAAATGACTCAGTGGTCAAAATAAATGTAGGCAACAGTACATAGTTTGTTGCCCTTTTGGAGATTTGTAATGCATATTAACAGATTAACAGCTGTAAAAAGTCCTACCATAACTAAACAGTTTATCATCAGTTTTTTCAGGTAAACTACTAGTCCATGGAACCCTTCTTTCAGGTAATATTTATTAACACCTTATGGACCAAGTGTTTCCTGCTAAGTTTCACTTCATAGTGAGTCTTTGAGGTGGTTGTTAAAAGCTGTGCTTGGCCGATTAGGAGCCTAAAATTCAGAGATTACTGAGCTGCCCAAGTACTCAGCTAGTGGGACAGCTGAGCCTCAAATTCCAGACACTGTGATTAAGTGTGTATTATATTAATATTCTTGTCTATCAGAGCAGAGAAATTCAATGTGAAACACCAAATTATTTTCCAGATATCCCCACAAGTTTTGCGAACATCTCAAGAAGCTACTTTGTTTCTCAGAAACAAAGAGGACACAGCCAGAGGATAATGACTAACTTTTGCATTGTAAAAGCTCCAGTGAGGGTTCTGATGGATACTGCTGATTCAGAACCACTCAATTAGATCTTCGTTTTCTAAGCAAGATGTATTATTTGTGTGCATTTAAAGTCAACATTTCAAACATGTGCAAAAATAGGCAAAATAATAATGTACCCATTACCCAGCTTCAACAATTATAAATTATTTATTTTTAACAATTATAATTTATGGCTGATCTTGTATCATCTAAGACTCATCCACTTCTCTCCTCCCATATTATTTATTTTGAAGCAAATCCTAGATAGTGTATCATTTTATCTCTAAATATTTCAGTATATCTCTAATCCCTTAATATAATCAGAAATTCAATTACTAATCATATTTGATATTCAATTACTGATCATAAAAGTCATACAGATTTTTTTAAACACAAGTCTGTTTCAATCAAGATCCAAAAAAAGTAATTACATTCCTTTGGAGTTTGGTTGATGTATCTCTTACGTCTGTCTCTTTTATTTTATTTTTTCATTTCTTGGCTGCATCAGGTGGCATGTGGAATCTTAATTCCCCAACCAGGGATAGAAGCCTGTGCACCTACATTGAAAACAGAGAGTCTTAACACTGGACCACCAGGGAAGTTGCAAGTCTCTCTGTTTAAAAAAGTCATTTATTTAAGGCTGCATTGGGTCTTTGTTGCTGTGCTTGGGTTTTTTCCAGTTGGAGCGGGCAGGGGCTACTCTCTAGTTGTGGGGCACAGGCTTCTCATTGCAGTGGCTTCCCTTCTTGCAGAGCACAGGCTCTAGGGTGCGCAGGCGAGTGCTGGCTCAGTAGTTGTGGCGCATGGGCTTACTAACCCCATGGCACACGGGATCTTCCTGGACCAGGGATTGAATCCATGTCCCCTACATTGGCAGGTGGATTCTTAACCATCTGACCACCAGGGAAGTCTCCAAGTCTCTTTTAATCTATACGTTCCTCCTCCATTCCCCCCCTCCTCCCTCCTGCAATTCATTTACTTTAGAGACTAGGTCATTCATTCTATAGATTTCCCAGTTTGAATTTTGCAGATTGCCTCTCTGTGGTATTATTCAATATATTCATTCCTTTGCTGTCTATGACTACACAATACCATTAAATCAGCTAATTTTGAGTTGGAAGGAAACTAGTTTAACCTACTTAACATGTTCATTTTATTAAATTGAGGCCCAGATAGAAGATGTCTAAGGTGACAACTAGAGCCTAGAGACCCAAGATTCAAATTCCAGTGAACATTTCTTCAATAAAGCACATTAGGCAGATTTCAAAGTCCTAGATAGAGAAGACTGGCAGGCTACAGTCCATGGGGTTGCAAAGGTCAGACATGACTGAAGCAATTGAGCACAGTCAGTATTAATATTTGATTAACTGTACCGTACTATGATGTATGCACAAAAATCCCTACAGATGTTATGGAATATTTTTAAGTTCAAATTTTTAGGTAATTTAAACAAGTGTTCCCATAATTTAACTTTATTGTGCTATTAGATGAGTTCAGTTCAGTCACTCAGTCATGTCCAACTCTTTGCGACCCCATGGAATGCAGCATGCTAGGCCTCCCTGTCCATCACCAACTCCCAGAGTTTACCCACTCATCTCCATTAAGTCAGTGATGCCATCCAACCATCGCATCCTCTGTTGACACCTTCTCCTCCTGCCTTCAATCTTTCCCAGTATCACGGTCTTTTGAAATAAGTCAGCTATTCACATCAGGTGGCCAAAGTATTGGAGTTTCAGCTTCAGCATCAGTCCTTTCAATGAACACTCAGGACAGATCTCCTTTAGGATGGACTGGTTGGATCTCCTTGCAGTCCAAGGGATTCTCAAAAGCATCAATTCTTCTGTGCTCAGCTTTCATTATAGTCCAACTCTCACATCCATACATGACTACTGGAAAAACCATAGCCTTGACTAGATGGACCTTTGTTGGCAAAATAACGTCTCTACTTTTTAATATGCTGTCTACATTGGTCATAGCTTTTCTTCCAAGGAGCAAGTGTCTTTTAATTTCATGACTGCAATCGCCATCTGCAGTGATTTTGGAGCCCAAGAAAATAAAGTCTGTCACTACTTCCACTGTTTCCCCATCTATTTGCTATGAAGCGATGGGACCAAATGCCATGATCTTAGTTTTCTGAATGTTGAGCTTTAAGCCAACTTTTTCACTCTCCTCTCTCACTTTCATCAAGAGGCTCTTTAGTTCCTCTTCACTTTCTGCCATAAGCGTGGTGTCATCTGCATATCTGAGGTTATTGATATTTCTCCCGGCAATCTTGATTCCAGCTTGTGCTTCTTCCAGCCCAGCGTTTCTCATGATGTACTCTGCATATAACTTAAATAAGCAGGGTGACAATATACAGCCTTGACGTACTCCTTTTCCTATTTGGAACCAGTCTGTTGGTTCATGTCCAGTTCCAACTGTTGCTTCTTGACCTGCATACAGATTTCTCAAGAGGCAGGTCAGCTGGTCTGGTATTCCCATCTCTTTCAGAATTTTCCACAGTTTATTGTGATCCACACAGTCAAAGGCTTTGGCATAGTCAATAAAGCAGAAATAGATGTCTTTCTGGAACTCTCTTGCTTTTTTGATGAGCCAGAGGATGTCAGCAACTTGATCTCTGGTTCCTCTGCCTTTTCTAAAACAAGCTTGAACATTTGGAAGTTCACGGTTCACGTAATGTTGAAGCTTGGCTTGGAGAATTTTGAGCATTACTTTAGTAGTGTGTGAGATGAGTGCAATTGTGTGGTAGTTTGAGCATTCTTTGGGATTGCCTTCTTTTGGGACTGGAATGAAAACTGACCTCTTCCAGTCCTGTGGCCACCGTTGAGTTTTCCAAATTTGCTGGCATATTGACTGCAGCACTTTCACAGCATCATCTTTTAGGATTTGAAATAGTTCAGTTGGAATTCCATCACCTCCAATAGCTTTGTTCGTAGTGATGCTTCCTAAGGCCCACTTGACTTCACATTCTAGGATGTCTGGCTCTGGGTGAGTGATCACACCACTGTGATTATCTGGGTTGTGAAGATCTTTTTTCTATAGTTCTTCTGTGTACTCTTGCCACCTCTTCTTAATATCTGCTGCTTCTGTTTGGTCCATACCGTTTCTGTCCTTTATTGTGTCCATCTTTGCATGAAATGTTCCCTTGAAATCTCTAATTTTTTTGAAGAGATAGCCAGTCTTTCCTATTTTATTGTTTTCTGCTATTTCTTAGCACTGATCACTGAGGAAGGCTTTCTTGTCTCTCTATTCTTTGGAACTCTGCATTCAAATGGGTATATCTTTTCTTTTCTCCTTTGCTTTTTGCTTCTCTTCTTTTCACAGCTATTTGTAAGGCCTCCTCAGACAACCATTTTGCTTTTTTTGCATTTTTTTTTTTTTTTTGGGAATGGTCTTGATTCCTGTCTCCTGTACAGTGTCACGAACCTCCATCCATAGTCATCAGGTACTCTGTCTATCAGAGTTAGTGCCTTAAATCTATTTCTCACTTCCACTGTATAATGGTAAGGGGTTTGATTCAGGTCATACCTGAATGGTCTAGTGGTTTTCCCTACTTTCTTCAATTTAAGTCTAAATTTGGCAATAAGGAGTTCATGATCTGAGCCACAACCAGCTCCCGATTTTGTTTTTGCTGACTGTATAGAGCCTCTCCATCTTTGGCTGCAAAGAATATAATCAGTCTGATTTCAATGTTGACCATCTGGTGATATCCATGTGTAGAGTCTTCTCTTGTGTTGTTGGAAGAGGGTGTTTGCTATGACCAGTGCATTCTCTTGGCAAAACGCTATTAGCTTTTGCCCTGCTTCATTCTGCTTTACATATATTTTTTATTTCAATGATTGGAAAAATTCACTTCAGTGCACTAATAATTCTATATGCCTATGAAATGCTCTGCTTAACAAATTCCAAAAACATTTTTCAAAGATTGAAAATATATCTTACCTCAGTGAATCACAAAAGATGTTATCTATGTTCCATAATAAAAATCCTAATAAAAATACACCCAAGGACGTGTAACCCAGCCCTCTCAGCCATGGATAAACCCTGTGTGGAGGGGAAAAAAAGAGCAAAATCAAATTTTGTCAAGTCATGTCATGAGAGGGAAATGTTTTCTTAAGTATTAAAAGCAAACCTAACGATTAAATTCTTTAATACATCTGCCCATTACAGTTAGCCATTAAAAGGTACTGAGGAAGAAAAGTGCCACTAAGAGTTTGCTAAATGTATCAAGAAGGTAATCTGAAAGCACCCCGTAACTTAATCAGTTCCTTGGAAGAGGCAGAGGGCTGGTGGAATAGAAACAACACTAATGGAGTCACCAGCTCTGTGTCAGGCATTATAGTATATTAGATACACACAATGTATATAAATAGACACACACATATGAATATAATTTTCAAATAAACACACATATATGAATACAATCTTCAAATAAACACTTCTTTAACTTTGCTGATGAGGAAACTGAAGTTTGGTGAGTTACCCAAAATAATAGGTGTAGCTAATGTACCTTTTTTTATAGTTTTACCCTTTACCTCCAAAAACTTAGTTTATATATTTTTTAGAATGTTATATAAATGGAATAATACAGTATGTTCTCTTTGTTATATGGCTTCTTTCAGATGGCATAATTATTTTAAAATTCATCCATGCTGTTGTATATCAATACTCATTTCCTCTTACTGTTGAGTAGTACTTCACTATATGGATGTGCCATGGTTTATCTATTCAAATGTTGTTAGATATTTCTGTTGTTTTCCAGGTTTTTTTGCTCTAACAAATAAAAGAAGCTATGAACATTCATAAATAAGTCTTTGTATGGGTATATGCTTTCATTTCCCTTGGGTAAAAAGATAGGAGAATAGTTAAACTGTCTGGCAGGTTAATGTTACTTTTTAAGATAGCTAAACTGTTTAATCAGCACTAAAGAGTTGTATCATTTTACATTCCCATCAGCAGGGTAAAAGAGCTTTTTGTTCTACAACCTCACCAACACTTGCTATGATATGTCTTTTTCATTTTAGTTGCCCTATAAGTTTATAGAGGTATCTCACTGTGGCTTTAATTTTTATTTCTCAATGATAAATGTTATTGAGCATCATTTCTTGTACTTATTTGCCATCCCTATATCTTCTTTGATAGTTTGTTTTGAATCTTTGCCCACTAAAAGAAAATTGTTACTTATTATTAAGTTTCAAGAGATCTTTATATATTCTAAATATAAATCCTTTGTTGGATATATATTTTGCAAACATTTTCTCCAAGTCTGTGAGTTGCCTTTCACGTCTTTCTTTTAATTCTTAAAAAAATTTCTTTAATTGAAATACAGCTGATGCACAATGGTCTGTTAGTTTCTGGTATATAGCAAAGTGATTCAGTTACATACATATATTCTTTTCAATTACAGTTTATTGCAGGATATTGAACATAGTTCCCTGTGCTATACAGTAGGACTTGTAATCCATTCCGTATATAATGGCTTGCATTTGCTAACCCCAAACTCTCAATCCATTCCCCACCCTAATCTTGCCTTGGCAACCACAAGTCTGTTCTCTCCATCTGTGAGTCTGTTTCTGTTCTGTAGGTAAGCCTCCCTGTTGTTCTTTTTCCAAAACTGTTTTGGCCCTTCTAGATCCTTTGTAGTCCCATGTAAATTTCAGAAACTGTTTCCCAATTTTTACCAAAAAGCCTGCAAAGATTTTGTGTGACTGCATTGAACATATAGATCAATTTGGAGAGAACTGACATCTTAATAACATTGAAGTTTTCTAATCCATAAAAATGATACATCTATTTACTTCAGTTCAGTTCAGTTCAGTCACTCAGTCGTGTCTGACTTTTGCGACCCCATGAATCACAGCACACCAGGCCTCCCTGTCCATCACCAACTCCCAGAGTTTACAAAAACTCATGTCCATCAAGTCGGTGATGCCATCCAGCCATCTCATCTTCTGTCGTCCCCTTCTCCTCCGGCCCCCAAGCCCTCCCAGCATCAGGGTCTTTTCAAATGAGTCAGCTATTCACATCAGGTGGCCAAAGTATTGGAGTTTCAGCTTCAGCAGCAGTCCTTCCAATGAATACCCAGGATTGATCTCCTTTAGGATGGACTGGTTGGATCTCCTTGCAGTCCAAGGGACTCTCAAGAGTCTTCTCCAACACCACAGTTCAAAAGCATCAATTTTTCGGCCCTCAGCTTTCTTCATCGTCCAACTCTCACATCCATAAATGGCCACTGGAAAAACCATAGCCTTGACTAGACGAACCTTTGTTGGCAAAGTAATGTTTCTGCTATTTAATATGCTATTTAGGTTGGTCATAACTTTCCTTCCAGGGAGTAAGCGTCTTTTAATTTCATGGCTGCCATCACCATCTGCAGTGATTTTGGAGCCCCCAAAAATAAAGTGTGACACTGCTTCCACTGTTTCCCCATCTATTTGCCATGAAGCGATGGGACCAGATGCTATGATCTTAGTTTTCTGAATGTTGAGCTTTAAGCCAACTTTTTCACTCTCCTCTTTCACTTTCATCAAGAGGCTTTTTAGTTCCTCTTCACTTTCTGCCATAAGCGTGGTGTCATCTGCATATCTGAGGTTATTGATATTTCTCCCGGCAATCTTGATTCCAGCTTGTGCTTCTTCCAGCCCAGCGTTTCTCATGATGTACTCTGCATATAACTTAAATAAGCAGGGTGACAATATACAGCCTTGACGTACTCCTTTTCCTATTTGGAGCCAGTCTGTTGGTCTATGTCCAGTTCCAACTGTTGCTTCCTGACCTGCATACAGGTTTCTCAAGAGGCAGGTCAGCTGGTCTGGTATTCCCATCTCTTTCAGAATTTTCCACAGTTTATTGTGATCCACACAGTCAAAGGCTTTGGCATAGTCAACAAAGCAGAAATAGATGTCTTTCTGGAACTCTCTTGCTTTTTCGATGAGCCAGAGGATGTCAGCAACTTGATCTCTGGTTCCTCTGCCTTTTCTAAAACAAGCTTGAACATCTGGAAGTTCACGGTTCACGTAATGTTGAAGCCTGGCTTGGAGAATTTTGAGCATTACTTTACTAGCCTGTGAGATGAGTGCAATTGTGTGGTAGTTTGAGCATTCTTTGGGATTGCCTTCTTTTGGGATTGGAATGAAAACTGACCTTTTCCAGTCCTGTGGCCACAGCTGAGTTTTCCAAATTTGCTGGCATATTAAGTGCAGCACTTTCACAGCATCATCTTTCAGGATTTGAAATAGCTTATTCCATCACCTCCACTAGCTTTGTTTGTAGTGATGCTTTCTAAGGCCCACCTGAGTTCACATTCCAGGATGTCTGGCTCTAGGTGAGTGATCACACCATCGTGATTATCTGGGTCATGAAGATCTTTTTTGTACAGTCCTTCTGTGTATTCAGGTCTTCTTTAATTTGGCTCAGCAAAAACTTATTCACCACAGTTTCCAATATATACAGCTTGCATATATTTGCTAAATTTAATCTTTAAATATTTGATGTTTTTTGATGCTACTGTAAATTATACTTTCAAAAATTTCACTTACCAATTTCACTTACTATGCACTTGTTTGGTGCTAGTACATAGAAATATGATTTTTGAATATGGACTTGAACCTCATGACCTTGCTGAATTTCACTTATTGCTTCTAGTGATCTTGTGGTATTTTCTGTATGTGATCATATCATCTGCAAACACTACATTGGATAGGACTTCCACCGATACACTGTTGAATAGAAGTGGTGACGATGTATATCCTTGTTTTAGTCTTGATTTTAAAGATAACTTTTAAAAACATTTCATGGAAATATGATAGATGCTGTAGTTTACAGGTTAAGAAAGTTCCCTTCTATGGAGTTTGTAAAGGGTTTTGTTTGGTTTGTTTTGGATCATAATAGCTGAATTTTATGGAATGCTTTATCTGAATGTATTGCTATCATCACATAGTTTTTCTCCTTTATTTTTTAATATGGTGAATGATGAGAATAGATTTTCTCAAATATTCTGTTATTTTAACTGTGCTTAGTTGCTCAGTTGTGTCTGACTCTTTGCAAGCCCATGGACTGGGGTCGCTTCTGTCCATGTGATTCTCCAGGCAAGAATACTGGAATGGGTTGCCATGCCCTCCTCCTCCAGGGTTTGCAGATAAACAAATGAATTGTGTTATTAACTTTAAAATCATCAGGGACTTCCCTGGTGGTCCAGTGGTTAAGAATCTGCCTGCCATGCAGGAGACATGGATTTGATTCCTGGTCCAGGAAGATTCCATATGCTGTGGAGCAACTAAGCCCACACGCTGCAAGTAGAGAAAGTCCACACACAGCAACAAAGACCCCACACGGTCAAAAAAATGTCATCAGAAAAACACAAATCTGGCTGCACACAGAAGGGACATTATTGCCATAGTTTGATGAAGATTCTCAGAAAAGATGAGTTTAAAAAAGTCATAGTATGCCTTCAGCTTTTCAGAGTTTATCACTTTCCCATTTGAGGGAGGCAAGAATGAGTCCCAGAAAGCACAGAGTAAAGGCATTTGGCAGAACTGCAGGATGGGCCAGGTGCTGAGATATGACAGGGAAGTGGTCACTAGGGGTGAGATACTCTCTATTTTCTGCTTCTAAGCTTACTTACCAGGGCCAATCTTCGGCTCTCAGAAGTAATTCAAAGCAAAATTCTTCTGTGGGGTGAAATGAATGTCTCTGGTTATCCAGGTAGCAGGGCACGTAAGAGAGAGCAAGAACTTCATCAGCACATGGTCCAAGCAAGCTAAGTACAGGTAAGATTCTGGGGACAGACTACTTGTATATTATCAGGTCAAGGGTGTGTAACACAGAAGACCCTCAACGTATCTGTATTTGGAGTCACACTCCTTTACTCTAGACTGGTTGCCTATCTAGTGGACAGCCATTCTCTGAAAAATCCCTTCCCTTTGCCTTCACCTTAGGAATTGCCTTCACCTCATTGTGTTGGATTTTCTATGTCTTGTTTCCTATGTCTTCCTCCTTTCTGGTTTTCTCATTTTGGTCAAACACATCCTTCCACAGGTTTCTGA